GAGAAAATTCGCCCGAATGTTTCGACCTACACACCAAAAACGACAAAACACAAAAGAAAACCAGAAAAACAAACAAAAAAAACCTAATGACTCAACATGAAGGAAAACACATAATAAAACACGAAACGGACTAAAAACTAAAGAAACAACCTAAAACAGGGGAAAAGAAAGATAAAATAAACACGAAAAATGCAACAAAAATGAGACAAACACCGACCACCATTCCAAACGAGGCCCTAATTCCAAGGCTACCAACCGAGGCCCGAGTTTCAAGGATATCCACAAGGGCGTGGAGGCTTCATTCCGAGGCAACCGATGCCACTTCCACCCGAGCCCGAGAGGAATGCTAATGGAGAGTCCTCGGATACTCGGATCGAAAGCCTAGAGAAGTGTCTTCAATCGTTGGCCTCCACCGTCTCTGCGTTGCATGACACCGTCAAAGGAGTGCTCTCGATTCAAGCCTCTCTTAAATGCCTCGAAACTCAAATGGGGCAACTCGGGACCTCTATTGAAGAGATCCAAAGGAGCAAGATGAAGGACAAGCTCCCAAGCCAACCCGAGCACGTCAATGCTATCACGATTTTGAGAAATGGTAAGAAAGTTGACAACCAGGAGGAGATGCCCAAGGAAGGCGAGGTTGAGAAGATAGTTGATGAGGATGATGAAGAACCGAAAGAAGAAATTGAGGTTTCAAGGGGTAAAGTCGTTGTTGATGAGAAAATTGAGAAGGAGAACCCCAAGAAGGATGCACGTGAGGCTTTACACAAAACTACCACACCTTACCGACCACCGGTCCCTTTCCCGAGCCATTTGCAAGATACAAAGAATGAGCGTTAATTTAAGGATCTTTTCGATATGCTCTCAAAGGTAAACGTGAATCTCCCATTACTAGACGTTATAAAAAACGTGCCCGGCATATGTTCAAATTTTCAAGGATCTAGCTTCGAAAAAGAGAAGGTTCGGGGACAATGAGAAAGTCATGATTTCCGAGGTAGCCTCGACCACTATACCTCGGAAAGAGTGTGACCCGAGAGCCTTTGTCATGAAGATCACCTTTGGGAATGAAAAAATGACAACCGGGATGCTTGACTTGGGGGCTGGTATAAATCTCATGCCTTATTCGATTTATAAGAAATTGGGATTGCAAGGGCTTAAGCCGACCCGGATGAGCCTACAAATAGCGGATCGCACTTTGAGGGAACCGAAGGGCATAATTGAAGATGTGTTGGTCAAAGTTGGTTCTATTGTTGTACCGGTTGACTTCGTGGTTCTTGATGTCGGAGATGTCCCGAATATCGGGAAGGAGCACACGATCTTGCTCGGTCGACCTTTCATGGCTACGACCAACACCATTATCGATGTCAAGGATGGACGAGTCACTCTTTCGGCTCATGGAGAGACGGATACTTTCACTATGAACAATGCCCGGGAAGCTCCACCCAAGATTGGCCAATGCTCGTTTATGGAGGACATCGACAAGGAGGTACATCTTAACTCTAACTCTAAATTTTCTAATTGCAATGGTGTTAGAGGTAAAAAGGATGTGTGGGAGTCGGGAAAGAGTGTGAATGATGACTTGGGAGTGAAAGTTGAGGATTTGAGTACGAAAAATAATGTTGGGGATGGAAGTAGTTTGCAACCGGGCAAGAAAGGGGCGAAAAAGAAGCATAAAAATGAAGTGGGAAAACCGGGAGGAAGCCCACCGAGTTTGAAAGATGATGCGAGTACCGGGGTTTGGAGGTTCACGAAAACCGGGATGAAATTTGAGAGTGAGGATGGTTGGAAGAAGAAACCTCTGGTGTCTCCGAGAAGTAAGTGGGCGAGTGTGTTCTTTGACGAGCTCGAGAATGAGGTTGGAGGAGCTCGTCGAGCCATGCCCGATTGACTATGATTTGACGAGAAAGTCGAGCTCACGACTTTAAACCGAGCGCTTCGTGGGAGGCAACCCACGTTTTTATTTTTCCTTGTTCTTTTCTTTTTCCTTTTCTCTTTTGTTCTTCTTTTAAAAAAAAAAAATGAGAGCTC